TGTGTCTCCTAACTGGGGAGGGCATCTGAGCCAAGTTAGGCCAATCAGATGCTCCACCGCTAGAATTTGAACCTTGAATAAAAATTGAAATGGTTGAAGCTCCTACATCCCAGTGCAGTTTCACCAGAGATTTCACATAGCTCATGCCACCCACCTCCTGAAATAATTTGGTTCCTGAGCCTACTTTTCCAAACTTTTGTTCAATTCTATGAACTGTTTCACATTATGTTAGTGAATATCTTTTTTTTTTTTTACTTAAGGCAAGAAGAGCCTATTCCTGTGGCTTGCAACTAAAGAATCTTGAATGACAATGAGTATAGGGGTAGCAAGAGGTGTTATATTATCTGAATAATATGGGAATGTGTTCTGAAAATATTGCTTAATTGCTTGTGGGCAAAATGCCATCCATTGAGACGTTCCCAGATGCCATAAAGCACAGGACAGCACTAACCAGTGTCTCAGCTAGACTTAGGAAGATTGATAGAAATGTGGCTTCTGGAGCCAGAAGGGCTGGGTTAAGTCCTCAGTTGGCCATGGGACAAGGAGCAGGTTGTTTAAGCTCCCTATTAGTTTCCTTTCCCTAGGAAGGTGAAAATAATAGAGCCATATTAAAGGTTTAAATGACAAAATACATGTACAGGCTTACAAGAGAAATGCTGCATACAATGCTAGTCATTAATAACACCATTCATCCATGAGGATTTGGTCTTCAGACTCAGGTGATTGAAAAGAATCAGCCTTTTGCATGGGTTTCGTTTCTTGTGCTTTATCTGAGAATCTTTGCCACCCAATGGGAATAGCAGGTTTTATGGACTGTACTAGTGGAGGTTAATTTCCTTTCTTGCTATTTGTTTTCTATTTCTTTTGGATTCCTGAATTCTTTTGGATCTATGAAGTGTTCCATTTCTTCCTCTAGCTGGATAGATAGATGATGGATAGGTGATAGGTAGATAATAAATCAAATAAAACCACCATCATTTCAGTTATTACATCCTTAACTTTAAGGTCTAACATAAATATATCCTACTTATGGCATATAAACAAATAAATATGAATGATATAAAGTACAAGCATAATATATAATACACTAACTTTTTACAGTGGATCAGGTGAGAAACTTAGGATCTTCTGATTTTTGATTCCTATACCCACCCCATACTTTACATGGGACTGTTAGTGTGTATCTGAGGCCCTGACAAAGTTCTTCTGTTCTATGGGGTTTCCTCTGGCTTCTATTGGGAAGTTGGGCTGAAAACTCAATCAAATTTTCAGATTTAGATCACCTGAAGACAAGCTTCAGTTTTTGGGGGTGCTGGTTTATTTCCTGTCCTTTCTCCTCCTAAGTATTTCTGACTAGCGTTTCTCAGCTTCAGTACTACTGACATTTTGGACCAGAAATTCCTGCTGACAGAAGCTGTAGAGTGTTCAGCAGCATCTCTGGCCTCTACCCACTAGATGCCAGTAGGACACACCTCAGTTGTGGCAACCAAAATGCTTCCAGAGAACATCAAATGCCCCCACTGAGAGTGAAGAACTACCATCCTAGGGTGTAGCCCTAAAGGATCCTAGCCCAAACCTCAGCCTCTGATATGGCCAAAGCTCCACTAATCTCAGCTTCTTTGTGGCCAATCAGGAATGAGAGGAAAGCTGCTCTCAGCAGGGTCCTCAAACTTTATCTTTCCTTGTCCAGCAGGGCTGAAATCACGGATTCCTCCAGCCTTGAGAACCCAACCAGCACCTTCACACATACATGTGCATGTGTGTGCTTGCTTTTCTAGTTCTCAACTGGAATACTGATATGAAATAACCTAGCTCATGACAATCACTTGGAAATAGATCTTAAATAATTTCTGTTGAATATAGATGTACAGGACTGTTTGTTCTTTGCAGAGTTCATTGATGCAGGTACCACGAGGGAATGTGGTGCAAATGATAGCAGACCTGTTCTTACAGGAGTTTGGGATGGGATCATTCTGTTAGAGGGCATTGTGGATTGTATGTTTGGAAGCAACCCTGCCTCTGCTACAGTTCAAGCAGCTGTCCTTACAGCAGCCTACTCTCTATAAGAATATGCATACAATTTTTAAAGCCAAAATTAAAAGATTTCAGTTGAGCTACAAAATGCATCCATATCTCAGAAAATAAGAAGTCTATAGTAGGAAACTGTGAAAAATGTTTATTACAAGCTAAATTCAATCCCCTTCTTTTTACCAGCTGTGTGACCTTGGCCAAGTCAAAGCTCAGGGTCTTCTGCAAAATGAGACTGTAGGATTAGATAATCCATCACTGCTGTTGCTTCTAGCCCTGGCAGACAAGAAGTCTATCAGGAAATAGGTCTGTGATCATTTAGAACACCAAGCACAGCCGAAGGAAGTGGCATGTTTATGAAAAATCAGCCACATCTAATTGACCCATTCCCATGCTGAGTGATGTTCCCAGTGGTGAACGTGAAGGAAACCCATGAGACATGGGCTACCTGGTTACCAGATGCACCTGAAAACATGCATCACATGTCCCAGAGAAATGGAAGAAGAGGCAGTATGGACAGTTTAAAGTCACTCCTTGATTCCAAGTCCCAAACAATCCATACTGGCAGGTCGAAAGGGATGTTACATATGCAGTCTCTGGGGTTTGGAACCCATGCTTCTGCACAACACCCCTCTGCATGTACTCCCCAGAGTGGTACTAAAATAAGACAATTTTGTGCCACAGATTTCCACTGAAGTTTTTGGGGTACCAGGAGGTATTTCAAGCACAGAGTATTTTGAACCCCTGGAAAGATATTTTTCCCTCCCTGCCACAAAAGCTTTGTGGCTTCTCCCTTCTCTTCACAGGCAACCTGTAAACTCACTTGGCTCCCTCATGTCTCCTAGCATAGGCTCCTACACCCTGGTAACTTCATATTTTGTCCACCACTGAATATTCAAAATTCTGCATTATTTTGCAGTGCAAAATATGAGTATATTTTAGTCTCTATGGATCTCCTCTTCACACAGCCAATGTGTGCCTAGGATGGGGCAGGGCAACACAAGAGGGGGCTTACCTGCTTCCACTAAAAGGCCTACTGAGAAATTTTCAAAACTGTAAACTTATCTCCCCAAGAGAAAAGTTTTTCCTTTAATATACAGTTGGCATTTGAGAGATCTTCTCTAACACAGGGATTCTGTGGTGTTTCTTGATTTGTCTTCAAATGGCTCAATGTTTAGGAAACAATGAGCACCAGCTCCCCACAGTCAAGGAAGGGAGGATTAAGGCTCACAAGTGGTGTGGATCAAAGCTTCCTAGAATACAGTGATGATTGTCACGCACTTGCAAATCTCCTTTTTCTTTTGTGCATTTGGTACAAACCTGAATATGCTCTCATCCTCATTCAATAAACAGAAGCTGAAAATCCAGTAGAAGCATGAAGCAGTGACAGAGGATGAAAGAGAGTAAAAGTGATTTGGAGGAGAAAAAAATACAAGCACTGATCTACAGCCCAAGGGAATAAAACATCTATGCCAGAAAAAGGAAAGGACTAAATAAGATTCAGAATTTGAGTCCCCAAAATACCAGCCTCTCCTCTTGCCTCCCTTTGGTGCTGGTGGGGAGCTGTGAGCGCTTCCCGCAGACATTTGCATGCTCCTCATGCTCCACCAGGGAAGCGGGAGATAGCAAGACAGATGGCTCTAGGAAGTGTGGGTGTCTGACGTCAAGTTTATCAGCCAAATGGTGTTTTCCAAGCTCCACTCTCCAGAACCCATCTATAATGGACCCACTACCTCAAGCCATGCCTGCTTCATTTCTATTTTATTTATTTACATGAGAGGCAGAGAAACAAAAAGAGACAAAGAGAAAGAGAGAGCTCCCATCCACTGCCTTATTCCTCAAATACCTGAATAAGCCAAGGCTGAGCCATGGCTGAATCTGGAAGCCAGGAACTCAATCTAGGTCTCCTTCATGGGTGGTAGGAACTCAATTATCTGAGCCATCTCCTGCTGCCCACCACGGTCTACAAAGTCAGGAAGCAGGGAACAGGAACCGCAGCCAATGTAAGATACTCTGATGCTGGACATGGGCATCTTAACCTCTAGGCTAAAGGCCCACTCCAAACCATACCCAACTCTGAATCCTCTCCTGCCTTCATCATCATCTTTCTGTCTTCTAACAAGATCAGTGATGCCTCTTGCTGGTCGAATGTGTGCTCTCTGTCAAACGCTGTGACCCAGGTTTCATCCATCAAGCAGCTCCATGAAGGGCACCACAGGGTCTTGCATCTGTCTCCAGCTGCCCTGACCCTGCTCCATATACTCACTGCATACATCTCAAATATTGACCACATACATGCCAGGCACTGCTCGGCACCAAGGAAACTCACAGAGAACCAATAAGAAGGTCCTCATCTTCATGGGGATTTCATTCCAGAAGAGAAAGACAATAAATACACAGTCCAGCTCCTGGTTAAAAACCTATCTGTGACATTTCGGGCCTGACCATAGGCAAGCACAAAGGCTCTCCAAGGTGGGACCCACAAGGCAAAGCCACTTTCCCTAACCCAAACTTGGAGCTCAGCTAGGCACTGCAATCTCCAAAGAGAATTACAAAATTCCCGGGCCACCTGTGCCCCTCTCTCACCACCCCAGGTTGATCCTGTATTTCCCACATTTGAATTCCCGGTCCCAATGCCTTCCTTCTTAGGTCTCTTTATCTGAAGCCTTACCTTCTTCAGGCATACCTGTCAAGTTCTCCTCCTAGATGAGGAAAAAAGGAAAAACTTGAAAACTGTTACTCCTGCTCTGACTCAGTACCCAAACTTTTCTCCCCCTACCCAGTCCCTTCTCCATCTCCAGCCCCAAAGTCCAGAAAACTGGACTCAATAGATGATGCCACATAAGCTAGATCCACCTGATCTCAACTGGTGCCCTGTCCATGGGGCACCAGGGCAGTGGCTGCTTCCTCGGATTCAGCCTCTGGCTGAAAGCATCACAATGAGTGATGAAAGTCTGCACTGGGATTTCTACCTGGGGTCTTTGGTGTTTTAATCGGTTCCTCATACACCTGGGCACTTGGCTCTCCCTCCAGTGCCTCTGAACTCTGGACAAACAGGAAATAAAACGATTACATAGAATTAAAGAAGAAAGCAAATGGAATGTTTGATATTGTCTTAGAATTTTGGGAGAATCCCAAAGCCAGCAACAACAGGTCATAACTAAAACCCACCTTACCTCCAGCCAACTCTAACAAAAAATGTAAAGATGTCAACCACCTATTCAAGGCTTTGTAAGAGACAGCTAAAATCAGTCCTTGGTCCTGTGACCCACAGTTTAACACAACCTCCAATCTGTAGAGATGAGAGGACAGAGTGACGACAGATTTCTTGGGAGAGCTTCCCATTCTCTCAGTGCATAGAGACAGATAAGATGTACAAGGGCTGGGGATGCTGGAACAGTCAGTGTTGGCAGAGCCAAGAGAAAGGGTTGTCTTGGGAGTGGCCTGTACATCAGAGCACCACGGGCAAAATGCCCAAGGGGTGCAGTGGGCAGAGTGGACACTGTGCAAAGCCACCTGACCTGAGTCATCATGAAGGCACTGGCCAGTGGAGCGAGACCACTCTTACCAACAGAGGAGCTATGAAGCCAAAGACTTTCAACCTGCAAAGGAACCACAGGCAGCTTCATGGGAGGGTAAGGCAGCAAGCCACGTGGGGCAGAGAATGGCAGGACAGAGGCCCCAAGACAAGGAAGGAAAATCAGCCACTGTCATCTACCTTGACAGTAGACGTCTGAGTCAAGAGAGAACTACACATTGCCTCAGTCTCTTAAGAAGATCTTTTTGCCTGTTTACCTCCCATCACCCTCTCTTTTCTGAAAATACCAGTTGTAGTCCTGTGTGAGGCAGAGGAGGACAGAGGGAAGAGGGTGGAAGCAAAGAAGATAAGACCACATGCTCTCTTGCCACTGCTGGTCAGTAGACCTCAAATCGAGCTTGAGTCTAGAGAGAGGGAAAACACCCTAAAATGGATAAGGAACTGAAGTTTTGACAACAAATATGACTGAGCTATTTAATAGCTAAAAACAAGATGATTTCAACACTCTAAAATTATCATAAAAGCCATGGGATTTGCTTACAATCTCATCCTTGGCAAATCCTTCCCAAGCAGGTTTGAAACTATGGTGGGTGAAAAACAATTATTTCCTTATCTTACCAAATATAGCTTATTCAAATGCCAGTTACAGAGCAGGGAAAACAACTGAGAGGGAGATAGGTATGGAACCTACTGTGAAGTTTCCGGTCAGGAAGCTGAGGAACTACCTCTATGGAGAGAGAGAAAGATCCTTTGGGCTGAGGGGAGGCTCTGTGCACAGGCTTTGAGGCAGGAAAATAGGCAGCCACAGGACAATGAGGAATGCAGGATAGAGTGGGGTCTCCAGATGATTTTGTAATCAGATTGCACAAAGTGATGAGATCCACAGGGAAGACTCTGGATTGATTCTTGGAGAATTCCAGAATTTAAGCGGCAAATTGATGTGATCCAACTTTTACGTTTAAAGTCACTGTTGTTTCATGAATGAACTGAGATTGGGGCTGGCACTATGGTGCAGTGGGTTTAAGACGTTGCCTACAATGCTGACATCCCATATGGGCTCTGGTTCAAGTTCCAGCTGCTCCACTTCTAATCCAGCTCCCTGCTAATTTGCTTGGAATGCAGCAGAAGATGGTCCGAGTGCTTGGGATCCTGCACCCATGTGGGAGACCTGGATGAAGCGCCAGGCTTCTGGCTTTGGTTTGATCCAGCCCTGGCCATTACATCTATTTAGGGAGTGAACCAGCAGATAGGAGATCCTGTCTCTCTCTCTCTCTCTGGATCTCCCTCTCTCTGTAATTTTGCCTTTCAAATAAATTCATAAATTTTTAAATATTAAATTAAAAGAATGGACTGAGACAAGAAGTAAGAGTTGGGGCCTGTTAGGACACAATGTACTTTAGAAAAGGCACCATAAACTCTCATCAGTTGCTTTTCTGAAGTTTACAGACTGAAAAACCAGAAAGAGTGGTGCCCACAGGTCCTTCAACCCCCCTGTAACTAAAGCTGTTCACTGGAATTTAACAACAGCAACAATGAAACACAGAAGAGACAGGATTCATCATGACAGCCACAAGACACACCATATACATATGTGTATATATGTGCACACACACACATATATAGGCATATATACGTACATACGCGCGCACACACACACACACACACATATGTAAATTTGTATTTCCTCCCTTAGCTGCCAGGAAGCTCAAAGCTAAATTCCTTGCTCTAGTAGAGTAATGCTGCCACTCCCTCTCCCTCTCTATATAAACAGTTTCTAACGTCTCTAACAGAATTTCAACACAAAAATGTCCTTGTGTGGCTTTTCATGAGCCACCTCAAATTCATTTTGAAGATTCAAAGATTTTTTTTCACAACCTGCCACAAAGAGAAGAATAAGATCTTTTTCTTAACAGTTTGAAAGATGGTCCAAAAAATACAGCCAATCATGAAAAAATGTTTTGATTCTTTTCCTCTCCAACACTTTGCACTGAGCAATCTACCTCAGCTGGACCCCTGGGCTCAGCTAACCCCCATGGGCCCATGCCAGCCCCTGGAGCCGAGCAGCAAACAACTTCCCTGGAGGCCCCAGCTCCTCTTTGCATTCTGGGCTTGTTTTAATAGCTTCCGTGCTTTGGGCACTTGCTCCATTCCAGGCACCATGCAAAGCACATTACACAGACATTAATAATCCATCATCACAAAAATGCTTTGTGGCAGGAACTGCTGCTATATATCCCTAATTCACAACTAAAGCAACTGATGCAAGGGGCATTTCAGTCACATGTCCAAGGTCACCCAGATGGCCAGTAGCGCCACTAACCTTTCCACTCTAAATACATCTGCCTCTGGTGATAAACCTTGGGGTTTGAGACCTTGATACCAGTCACACCCATACTTCAGCCGACCACATGAGACATTTGTCTATGTCAGCCATAGCTCACACATCATGTCGGTCTGCCACGCACTCGCTTGGCTTGATTCTTGGCTTCTCATCACCCACCCACTTATCTTCAGGAAAGCTCTCAGGTCCTAACCCAGCTCCCTGTAGAGTAATGAGATCAAGATGGCAGTGTGCTGGATTATCTCACACTGTTCTACAGGAGCCAATCATATGTATTACCTCTCTCCTGTGCATTCAATGGCATCATCTTGCCAGTTTGAAATCAACCATGGTAGGAATATTGACACCATGGAAACTGGCAAACATGACACAGCTGGGCTATGGGATGGGAAGCAGGGCCATGTTAACCAGCATACAACTTGGGACAGACAACGGGTTAATATCAAAATCATCTCTTGAACAGTCTTTCTTCCTAACCCTTGATAAATGGATCATTCGTACTTCCCAGAACCCCATCCAAAGAAGTTCAGCTGAAATTATACAGATAGGAATAGGTCTCTTTGCCCAGAATGCAAATATCCTTCCTCAACCTCTGCTGCTTTCCTTGCAGCATTAAGAGAAACAGACTAGAAAACGTTTTCATGCTTTCCTACATTCTGTTGAGCTTGCAGTCTTGCTGGAAGGAGGGAGCCAATCTCAGGTGCCGAACATCAAATTGCTTCTTGGAACAGCTGCTGCTTTCCGCTGAGTAAGCAGGACATTCAAGGGTGGTGCTTTCTTGCCATAGTGTGGCAGACAGTTAAAAACTCGCGTTAGGGACAGAAAATAAGAAACAAACAGAAAAGATCGGATGGTTTGCTGCAAGCCATGGGCAGAAGCCTCCTTATTCTTTCAAACACAGTATAGGGTAGAGGAAAGGCTGTAAATATCAAAATAAGGAAGACCTGCAGCTGTGCCTTGGCTCGCCCACTTGCTACATGTTCTGATGGAACAAAAAGGTAGGAGGAGGGAAAGGAAGGGTGAAAGGTGTAATGGATGAAGGGAGCTCCTTTGAGGCTAAAGAGGAATAGGCTTCCCCAGAAGTCAGTGGTGACTCCTGCACATTCACTTGCTTACTCTGTATTAATTGGGTGTGTCGTTTGCTATGAGAAATGCAAGATATAGTTGTGAAGAGTACAAAGCCCCTGCTTTCATGGAGCTTACAGTCTAGTGGCAAATAGATTAAGTGTGTAGTGCTAGTAAAGTTTGATATTTGATATGACAAAGGAAATAAATGAACCATAGGAACATAACAGAAAAGAGTTAGGACTGACCATGTATAGGACCAGAGGACAGAGTTCTCATGAAGTTCTACACTCAGAGGGAAAGAGCAAAGTAGCTGGAAGACCCTAACAGATAGACTGACAGCATGGCTGGGACACATCTTTGGAAGAGCCTTAGAGTGAGCAATGCACTCTGGCCTTGAAAGCCTGAGAACTGTGTTCAAATCCTGGCTTTACCACCTAAAGGCTCAGCCACTTCACCTCATTAAGCTCAGTACCTTCATCGTGAATGAAGACAGTAGTAATACTACACTTACCTTACGGGTCTACAACTGGAATTAAATTAACAACTACAGGCGAAGACATCATGGTGTGTTAGGTTAAGCTTCTGTTTGGGACACCAACATTCTATATCAGAGTGCCAGAATTTGAGTCCCACCTCTAGTTACAATTCATCTTCCTGCTAAAGTGCACCTTGGCAGGCAACAGGTGAGGGCTCAAGCACTTGGGTCCCTGTCACCCACTTAGGAGACCCAGATGGAGTTCCAGGTTCCTGGCTTCAGTATGGCTCAGTCTCAGCTGTTGTGGGCATTTGGAGAGTGAACAGCTGATCAAAGACTCTTTCTCTCTCTGTCTCCTCCCTCCCTCCCTCCTTCTTTCCCTCTGTCACTCTGCATTCCAAATAAATTATTTAACTATATTAGCACCCATGGTGGTTCTCAAGGGGTGATAAATAAATAATTAATCAGTGAAAATGCTACACCAAAAACCAAGGATCTTAGGGCAAGCGTTTGGCACAGCAGTTAACAAGCTGGTTACTATGCCCATGGTTCATATCACGTGTCTGCGTTCTACTTTCAGCGTCCTCTTTGTTACACCTTCTTGCCAACATAGACCCTGGGAGGCC